TTATTAAATAATGGTATCATAATGTTCTAGAGGGAAAATTATGAGTTGCTCACATAAGATACAGCATATGTCTTTGTGGGAATAAATAAATGAGTTAATAAGAAATGCCCATGAAGTTACCTAAGTATTAACCTGAAAACATAACAAGTACTCATATATCATGATTATAGAAAAACTGATAAATAACATTATATAAAGTAACTTCATAATATTGTTATCAGTACCCCCCAAAATACCTATCAATTGTTTTTAGCAGCTCTGCAGAGAATACTGCTGACATTAATATTTTCATGCCTCTGAGGGAGCTCTAAAAATTAAAGGCAGCAAAAAATGCAGCATCCCCACAGAAAGTACCTAAGTAACATGCTGATTAATGCTAATCCAAAGTAATTTAGTTTTCATTTTTATCAGCAGAAATAATTTTTGCTCAGTTTAAATCTGAAACTTTACCTGTATACAAGGAGAGAAGACAACATGGCTAAACTCTAGGAGAAAACCTGCCTACAAATATCAAGTATCAGAATATATACAAGCAGCATTTTTCTTAGTTAAGATTTCTTAAAAACAAACAAAAAAACCCTACTATATTAAAACGCATCCCAACAGCTATCCTGAAATGCTCCAAGTTTCATAAAGCACAACCAAAGTACTCGCAGCAAAAACATATATTCTCCTAATAAAATTCTAAAAGAAAACAAGTGGCTTTATAACTTTTTCTCTTAATGTCTTTATTTCAGTTACTGTCATACTATGAGAAAACATCAAGATCAGCTTTGAAATCTAGAATCTATACTGATCTGGACATTCTCCAAAAATATAGGACATCTGGACATATTTTGAAGACCAGGAAAGTGACTTTTCTTTTAGAAAACACATCCAATAATTATTAACTCTACTGTGTTATTGATCCATTGCTGAAAAATTATTATTGCCGGGCCGACCCCGTGGCGCACTCGGGAGAGTGCAGCGCTGGGAGCGCAGTGACACTCCCGCCGCAGGTTCGGATCCTATATAGGAATGGCCGGTGCGCTCACTGGCTGAGCACGGTGTGGACTACACCAAGCCAAGGGTTGTGATCCCCTTACCAGTCACGAAAAAGACAAAAAAATATATATATTATTATTGCCAACTAAAAGCAAAGCCAGGGAATAGAATGATACTTAAACTTTTCCACATTTTTAACCATAATAAATGGAAATAATTATAATATTAGTACTGGTATTAGATAATACCCACAATGATGTAAATAATTTACTGTAGAAAAATTATATACATCCTAATAAGAGAAAAAACACAAAAGTAGCTAAGAATTATACTAGCTATAGTGAAATCAATTGCAATCAAAATAAACTATACACGAAGTCTGACATTAAGCCAAGTTATACTACAGAAGTATAACTGTAGCATCAAACAAAGATCACAAAAAACAAATTGAAATGCTACAATTCAAGGCAATAGATTCATTAAGTTATGTAAACTATAAAATGCTTATAAAAAAGGAGAAAACGTTGGCATATTTGTTAATCACATTCAATATTTTATCCAAAAAATGGTAAGTTCATCAGGTTCTAGCAATACTAATGTGCTATATCTGGTTTTCTAAAATGAGTGAAGAACAAAAAGGTTGTTTGTTGTTTTTTTTAAATTCTGAGTACATTAAAAAAGATTCCAGCTGTCTTTTGACATCACTGGTCAGTATAGGAAAGGAAAGTCACCTTTAAGAATAAGAAATTTGCTATGAAAAAAGAAAACATCACAACTTGCAATTACAACTGATATATAAGTTGTATCATCTTCGATACTCTTCAGTGTCCAATTAAAAACACACTCTATCTGGCAATCTAAAGTCACAACTATCTAAAATGTCTTAAGGAAGTAGGAATAAAGAAGTGTAGTTTTAGGGCTGGCCGGTGGCGTGCTGGAGAGTGCGCCGGGCGCTCCCGCCGAGGGTTCAGATCTCATGTGGAGACCGGTTCCCGCTCACTGGCTGAGCGCGGTGCGGGCACAACACAGAGGGTTGTGATCCCGTTGCCGGTCCCCGGTACGGGCGCAACACCGAGGGTTGCGATCCCGTTACCGGTCAGTAAAAAAGACAAAAAGGAAAAAAAAAAAGAAGTGTAGTTTTAATCAATGAAGCACCACTTTGTTGTAGAATGAAAGCATTTTTTCCTTTTTTTAAAAAATGTCACCTGACACCAATTACCTGGCTGGAGGGAGTCACTGTTATAAATTTTCAGGGGAATCCTCATGATTTATGCAAGAATTGAAGAAGCAAATTTTCTCCTCGTATATGCTTAGCATTACTGAATATATTGACATACAGTACATTACAATATTCATTATTATATATTATTAATAAATAATATACATTATTGAATATGCCTATTCCCCAAAAATGAAACAATTCAAAACATTTAAAAGATACTTGTTTCCTAAACAGTTCAGTTTCCAGTTTATTTTAAACTTTATGATTTAATATTGTAACCTAAGTTCTCTCAATAAAATCTCTTCTGACCATCCTAATCTGAAATAACTACTGTTTGAACTTCTAACAGTTTCTCTACAGAATTCATTCTGTAATAAATCATATAATATCTTGTGATGTTTAACAGTGTCCTCACTGTCAAATTAAGACTAACATTTAATGAGCGCCTACTATTATTCAGAGTATTGAGGATGTACAGATGAATATGGGTGACAACAATTTTAACAGAAAGAAACACAGAAATGCATATAGTAACAGACAGCACTAAGCAGATAAAATAAAAACACAAAACAAAGAAGTATAGAGCAAGCAGAAAATAGTTTAACTTCAATGATGGATGAGATACAGGAGGCTCTGGAGGAAAGATAATTAAGATAAAGAAGGGGTAAGGGCATCCCGATGAAAGAAAATGCCTCCCCTCTCCGCAAAATGGAGAAAATGTACCGCTTATTTTAGGAAAGTAATGTAATGCAGCTGAAGGGCAAGATGGGCAGAGGGATTTTAATTGGTGGTAAATAAAGTTAGACAGGCTCAGGACATACCAGAAATGTGTTCAAATGCCAAGCCATGACGTGCAGACTTTATTCTATTTTGGAACAGGAGAGGGGAGCCATTAGATCTATGCTTCGCCCCCCCCCCCCAAGTTGGCCAGTATAGGGATCCGAACCCTTGACCTTGGTGTTACAACACTACACTCTGAGTAATTACACCAGCCAGCCCAATCTACGCTTTTAGAATGATAATTTGGTAACTGCACAAAAGTTAAAAAAGGGATAAGACTGAAATCAAAGAGAACAATTAGAAAGATACTGTAATAGTCTTGGTAAAAGTGGTGAGTACTTAATTAGGTTAGCAACAGGAGTAGAAAGAATGGGGTGGACTGGAAAGACTAGTAGAATAAATAAAATTTTAGAACTAATTGAAAGTTGAGAATTAGTGAGAAAGCAGTCAAAGACAACCCCCCAATGAAGCAGCAAGGGGGACAATGTATTAATACATCACCCTTAGTTAAATCACTCACTAGTCACATGTTTCAGTCTTACCTAACATACATACCATAATACATAGTAATATAAAGTGGTTTAAGAGCTATGATTCTGAAGTCACATAGACTTTGCCCAAGTTCCTGCTGCTTCACTAATCAGCTATGTGACCTTGGGTAAATAAATTCATCTCTATAAACCTCATATTCTTCATCCATCAAATGAGGATATTAACACCTGCCTCAAAAAGCTGTTGAAAGGATTAAGTGAGATAATGCAAGTGAAGCACTTAGCAGAGGTGTGGCACATGGTAAGTGCTATCATCATCTCCTATTTGAAGGGCAGGGAACATACAATACTACTCCATCTTCCTGACAATGCAAAAGTATGATGTGTTCAAATATTTGTAATTTGAAAAAAAAAAAACCAAGACATGATTTAAAACATGTTCATTCATTTCATCCTGTATTATATACCCGTTTTATTAATACCAACAAGCAATAAAAATCCTTTTGTTTTCTGTGATCACCCTCTAGTGGTGATCTTAAGCTAAAAACTGGCAAAAATATTAGAAAGCTTGATATAAAACACAATAAGAATAAGAGCTCAGAGCAGATAAAATTATCAAAATAAAGTGAACATTTTCCTCAGTCAAGATATATATAAGCTTGGGCCGGCCCGTGGCTCACTCGGGAGAGTGCGGTGCTGATAACACCAAGGCTATGGGTTCGGATCCCACATAGGGATGGCCGGTTAGCTCAATGGGTGAGCGTGGTGCTGACAACACCAAGTCAAGGGTTAAGATCCCCTTACCGGTCATCTTTAAAAAAAAAAAAAAGATATATATAAGCTTGACTCAACTATCAACAGAAGACACCTAATGCCGAATTTCCTAAAATGCTTAAGGTAAAGTTGTTTCAAAAAATGAGTTCATGGAAATCTCCAGGATAGGCACAGCTAAGCATTTTCCTTTTCTGTGGGACTCTGTAGATCCTTTATGAAAATGTAACTCTCCAAAAGCTGTCCTTCGCAAACTTTAACCAGCAAACACTTTTTTCAGTAGAACACTTATTACTCTAATAACTGGGGGACAGCCATACTAGAAGTTTACATAACTAATTACATTATTAGTAACAAAGTAGGTAACTTAATATTTATTTAACCAACAGTTTAAAAAAAAATAATTACCATACAAACGGATAACACAGGATTAGAGGACACCCTGAGAATGATCTTAAAGAAACATAAATCCCAAAATGAAATACATTTTAATTAAATCTTTAGATATAAGCTAGTACTCCTGATATTTTATATAATCAATCATTTCATAACACTTGTATTAGTTTAACCATAAAAATCATTATATAAAACTAATCTACTGAATGAAAGCCATAATTTCCACAGCCCTTTAAAATTACTTAAGATACTAAAATAAGCCAAAATTATTTCCTCATCAATATCAGAAAAATAAAACCAACAAGAGAAAAATATTTTTAAATTGCACCTAAAGTAGTACAAGATAACACGTTTACCTGGGATTTCCCCTTAGTGCAGCATGATGTAGAGCATTAAACCCATTATTGTTTGTGATGGTAACATCTGCTCCAGCTTCCAAAAGAACTGCCAGGATATCATCACGTTTCTTACTTATTGCATCATGAAGAGGGGTATCACCTTCAGAATCCTTTTTTTTTTTAAGTTTAAAGAGACTTTCATTAGTTATTCTTCAGTTAATCATCACATCTAATAGTAACACTTATACTAAATTATTAATCAAGTAAAAGAGGCCATATCCAACAACTATCAATAAAATATCATGTTCTGTGTTAAATATAAAAACACAGGCAAGGGGCTGGCCAGTAGGTTGGTTAAAGCGCAGCCTATAACACCAAGGTCAAGGGTTAAGATCTCCATACTGGCCAGCCTTCAAAAAAAAAAAAGAAAAATGTAGTCAAGACACATTAGCCACGTTATAATAAAGTCATACTCAAATCTAGGTGAAAAACACAATAAACATCTACAGCTTTCCAAAGAAAAAGAAGTAGCCTCAAATTAAGTCAACTAATAACCAAAATTAAAGAGGTAAATGAGGGGCCGGCCCAGTGGCGCACTGGATAGTGCCGACACATTAGCCACGTTATAATAAAGTCATACTCAAATCTAGGTGAAAAACACAATAAACATCTACAGCTTTCCAAAGAAAAAGAAGTAGCCTCAAATTAAGTCAACTAATAACCAAAATTAAAGAGGTAAATGAAATGGCTGCCAAAAAATTTAATGAGTTTTAAATGGCTACCATTAATTGTTATACCCTGAAATTCCATACCAAACCTACGCCAGTCTCAGGCCCTGAAACAATGAATTAAAAATCAGTGGTTTTCAACCTTGGCTATATGTTTGAATGGCTAGGGAGCTCTTAAAACTCCTGATGCCCAGACTGTTCTCCAGACCAACTAAATCTTTGAGGGTGAAAGCCAAGCATCAATAGTTTTTCAGAGCTACCCAGATGAATCTATTACAGTCACGGGTAAGAATCATTAACCTAAGTGTTTTCAAAGGGCAGGAAAGTGACTAGTTAGCTCAAGATAAAAAAAAAATGTAAACAAAAATTTAGCAGTCTCACGACTGTCTACCTTTTTTTCAAGCTGACTACTTTTTACATTAATCAACTGATTTAGCAATAAGCTCTTATTCATTATCAGTTATCTGAATAAATGAGTAATTTAGACCGCATTCATTTCATAGTTTCATAGATGCTATTCTCAGTAGTCATATACAAGTACAACCTACCTGTCATATACCACGCTGCCAAATCCAGCTTGCCACTTGTTTTTGTAAACTAAATTTTATTGGAACACAGCCACACTCACTCATTTATGTATTATCTATAGCTGTTTTCATTCTACAATGGCAGAGTTGAATAGAAACTATATGAAAGTCTACAGTACTGTCTGGCCCTTTCAGAAAAACTTTGCCAATCGCAGGCATATATTCATCCATCCACAGAAGGAATTCCTAGCCCAAATTCTACTCAACCATCCACCTTCTATCCTCCTATATCTGGTGGCATTAAAAATTTGTAGTCTTCAACTTGAGATGGGCTCTTAACATGATTGGAGCTTCTAGAGGTCCCTGATCTGTTCCACGTTCTCAATAATGCTTTCTCTACCTCCCACCTCCCACTCACATTCATAACAAATGACCCTGCCTCCCATTTCAAATGAAAAAGTCAACAAGTATAAATTCCCTCTCCTTCAACAGATTGACATCCCCAATTCCTACCCCCATCCTCCAATCCTGCCACCCACTTATAAGGCCATAACCTGACAGTTCCAAAATGGTTGCACTTCAGAAAAATTACTTTCTAAGAACCATCCAGCTTAACAAAATCTCTTATTCTTTCAGGTCTTCTCAAGCCCGCACCCCCACTATTCCTGTTCTTTATTACTTCTGTGAGAATTATCTAAACTACAAGCTACTTAAGATCTTAAACCAACCCTCCCTTTTTGTTTTACTCATTGAGTTTCCAATTTAAAAAAAAGTTTTTTTACATATTCAAATAGTGTTTATGGACCATTTTTATTTAAAAATAATATGCTATTTCAAGCCTATTCTGTTAAAGATCATCATGACATTAAACAATCAAAAAAGGAACCTTAAAGTTGGTAAATTATGTTCAAGAGCTATTTTATATCTTATTTTCCTATAAAATTAAGTATTCATACCAAATTTTAATCTGATAGGTATGCAAAAGACAGGCTGCTTAGTAACCAAATGGTTACAGACTACATTTCCCTTCCATATGTGGTTTAATTCATCTGGTTGCTAAAACTGTGGCCTTGAAGAACTATTTCTTACGTGATCCTTGCTTCAAAAATTAGTTCCTACTATAAATCAACCCTAAAACCCTACATATTTTCCAAAACAGATAATCTCCCAAGACTAGACCAAGACCCTAAAATAAATTAAGCTACAATTAAAATAATTTAGATAGTTATGAAGTAATTATTATGAAATACAGCCTATTACACTTCTTTAAGCTGCTAAAGCTCACTGTCATGATCAATAAAGTTAAATCAAATCATGAGCTGATATTTTTGCAAGGAAACCCCACCACACTCCCCAATCTAAACTCAATCAACTGACATTTTCTGATATAGGGCTTTTCTAAGAAGGAATAGCTGCCAATTTTATAACATCCTATACCTTTGGTATCATTTACTATGACTGACTGTAGAAAAAAGAACTGGTAACAAAGGAATTTAGTGCTTCTCTTTAATAGGATTTTAGCAATACCTGCAGAATATATTTCTTTAAAGGTTTTACCTGGAGACTAGGATGACAGCCAAAGTCCAATAAAGTCTTCACAACCTGAAGATGACCTTTATTGACAGCAATATGAAGTGGTGTCTGTCGGCGCTTGTTGCGAGCATTCAAATCAGCACTGCCTCGGTGTAGTACTTCTATAACAGCACCTTCATCTCCAAAAGCTGCATGGTGAACTGCTCGATCTCCATCTTTATCCTAAACATTATCAGTTAAATTTGAATTAGTGAATACTTTATAAACAAAAATAAAAATTGAAGCTATAATAATACACCAAGAACCAGAGAAAAGAAAGCATAGAGTGGCCAGTTAGCTCAGATGCTTAGAGCACAGCCTTGTAACACCAAGGGCAAGGGTTCAGATCTTCATACCAGCCAGCTGCCGAAAGAAAAGAAAACATACAGCAGAGCCAACAAAATAATTAGAAACTGACTTGAACAGTGATTACCTACAAAGATAAATGATAAACCTAGATCAATAATATTGGACAAATAATTATATATTTTTTTCCATTTAAAAACTTTTACAAAGACTTTTTAATGACATAAAAATTATATTAATGGATTCCAAACAGTACAATTTCAGTTAGCCTTAAGGGCGGGGGGGGAGAGTACTGATATACATGTTAGCATTGGTTTTGTGTAAGTGGTGAGCATACACCTTTCTGTATATTCGAGAACAGAAAAAAAATTATTAAAAATAATTTTTAAAATTATTAAATACCACCTTTAAAAGATAAAAATGAAGCATAAACCAACAAAATTCCTTAAATCCAAAATTCCAAAGCTACTTCGGAGGAATCAAATAGGTTTGCCTCACCTCCTGTAATAGGCATATTTCTGAAGAAATGAGAGTACGGGAATAACCCAATTGCTTAATTTTTTTTTTTATTATTAAATTTAAAAACTACTTATTAAAGGAAAAAAAGTGCCTAAACTGCACTATTAAGGTAATATACACAGTTCATACAAAAAAGAAGTATCATTATCTTCAGATGCAGGTGCAGATAGAGAAGGGTATTATAAGGGTACTGTCTTTATCCCAATACTACATTCCAAATTTTGACACCCACAAGTAAGCATGCTCTAAGTCTTCCTCCAGAGCAGCGGTCCCCAAACCATGGTGCAAGCCTCTGGTAGTCTCTCTAGTTTTTGCAAGAGGTTTGAAAATCCATATGATACCCAGGATTATCTAAACTACTTTTCATAATGTTAAAATACTAAACTACTTTTCATAAAGATAACAAGGATTATCTAAACTACTTTTTATATTGTTATGATTAATATATTTAAAACAAATAGTTCATTCAAAACACTGAATTCAAAGTAGTTTTTGGTCTTTGCATATTTTCTCAAACAGCTACTAAGTACAACATCACTTATGTAGGAATCCACAATAGTTTGACAACCATTCTTGAAAAGTTAGGAAATTATGACTCTGGGAAATTTCTACCTTACTAATATTTCCAGCTGAAGCAGGTTAGGAGTTTTTGTTACCTATCAATCTTGAAAATAAAGAAACTGGCAAACAAACCACATGGAAGATTTAAGATTCAACTCTTGTACCCGAGCAGTATTATATTTAATTATATTTACATTCCAGAAAAACAAGCTTGTTACAAAAAAAAAATGTGTAAGTATGTACATATATGTGTGTGTGCATATGTAATTAACCTCTCTAATAACATATTTCAATATTTTAGAATCTTAAAGTTAAAAAGATTTTCCTAACCCCCAATCTGGACTTTTTTCCTATTAAAATCTTTAAGCCTATCTTATGGTCCCTCTTCCACTAAAAAAGGGAACATCAAAACAAAACAAAAAAACAATAAAAAAGGGAACATCAATCCACTAACTCTCACTGAATAAAAGCAAGAACTATTTATGAAGTGTACCATATATTTAAGGTTGTTAGAAAACCACTACTGAAACACTTTTATACAGGTCCTGTCAACAGTTTACATAAAACAAACAAACAAAACACTAAAAAATTAAATATGCATGTATGTCAAAAAGAAAAAATTAAAGATTATGGAAAATACATACAAACACTAATAAACTACAATTAAATTTATTTCTAAGTTTCTATTCTAAATTAGGAAACCTCAGTTGCACCACAACCTTAACTTACAAGTTTTGTTGCTTTCTTCTTAATCCATCTTAAGTACTCCAAATAAACCTAAAACACAGCCTGTCTGTTACTGATACCAAATGAGAATCTTTTTTTTTTTTTTAAACAAGAACACAAACCCACTTTTATTTACTATTTACATTCCATTTAAATCCTTTAAATCCTTGAGGGGTTCAGCATCACAGAAATTCTGTGTCCAAATGCCTTAGCAGGAAGGCTGCTTTGGAATTTGGCACAAACCATGCCACTATTTCCATGGGCAGAGTTACTCTCCCCAGATTACTCTGGTCTTGTTTGGTTTGCCACCAGGAGACACTGTGTTGTTCTTTGCTTTGTACACATAAGCACATCTCTTACCCAAGTAAAATTCAGTTTCATCTCGGGCATAAACACCTTCAATTTTAAGAAGAGCTGGGCGCTTCCTTTGGTTCCAGAGACCCCCTTATAGCCAGCAAAAATGGCCTTGGACCATAGCCTTCCAGACATACTGCCTTTTAGAAGTCCTGTTCCCAGCAGGCCTCCACAGGCTCCAAGATGGAGGCCCAAATGAGAATCTTAAGGGACAAGGTTATAACTGACTTCCACAAGATTATCTCAAAGAATCTGTGAAGGGGCCTCAAATTAAATCTAAAACTGATCTCAGTTTCTACCCTTCTGCCCCCTTCTATCTCTTCTCAACCCTCCAAAACCTGCTCCTGTTCCAGTCTTAGCTAATAGAATCACAGACCACATGGTCAACAAAATCAGTATCCATAAGTCATACTAACCTACTTCCTGTCCATGAGCCCCAGTATGCAATCACCAAATTCTATGGCTTTTACTCCTCAATTTATGCTCAAATCTATTCTCTCTTCTCCAACTCTACCACTAATTAATTCAAGCCTAAGGGCCAGCCCATGGCTCACTTGGGAGAGTGTGGTGCTGATTACAGCAAGGCCACGGGTTCGAATCCCTATATAGGGATGGCTGGTTCGCTCACTTGGGAGAGCGTGGTGCTGACAACACCAAGAGTTAAGATCCCCTTACCAGTCATCTTTTGTTAAAAAAAAAAAAAAAAAGAAAGAAAAAGAAAAAGAAAAAGAAAAAGAAAAAAAATTAATTCAAGCCTTCATTCTCACTCATCTGAACTACTACCACAGCTTACCGTACCTCCACTTTGTTCTTACCTCAATCTATTCACACCAAAGACAAAATTTTCTCTGTAAAACCCAAATTTAATGTTTCAAACTCTTTAATATCTCTCTACTATATAAAAAACAGGGCTCTTTCTAGGCCTACATCTATGGACCATTCCAGCCTCATCTGCTGCCACAGTCCCCTCAAATTTCAGGCTCCAAAACTTATTTGATCCTATATATTTTTCATGTTTTTCCCTAGACTTGGAATGCTTTTCTTCATCACTCTGTTCATTTGGAAGCTAGATATTTTATAAAACTCAGCTCAGGCATCCCCTCTCCTGTGAAATTTCCCGATTCTCACATAACTAATTTATCTCAAAGAGCATGGTGCTGATAACACCAAGGTCAAGGGTTCAGATCCCCACACCAGCCAACTGCCAAAAAAGTAATTTATCTCTCTTTCTTTTATGCCACTTCTCACACTATACTATAACTATGTGTTTCCAAATCTGTCTTTTTTATTTGAGTTTGAGCTTCTTGGGAGCTAAGACTGTGTTTCAATCATCTTTATTGTGCAGGACCTAGCACAGTACCTATTAACTAGTAAAAACAAAAATGGGTGATGAATTGAATCCTTAACACGCCTTAATAACCATCATGATTTTTTTAAATACAAATAATTTAAAATTTACTACTTTAACCATTTTTAAGTGTACAGTTCAGTGGTATTAAGTACATTCATATCATTGTACAACCATCACCGCCATCCATTTCCAGAATTCTTTTCATTTTACAAAACTGAAACTCTACGCCAAGAATAACTACCCATTCCCCCTCCCCCCAATCTCTGGAAACCACCACTATTTCTTCTTTCAATTCTGTCAATTTTTGATTCATATATTTCGATAGTCTATTATTTGGTGCTTAAATGTTTATGTGTTATATGTTCTTGCTGTATTGAAACTTTTACTAATATATAATATTCTTAGTCTCTTGTAACTTTTTTTTTATTTAAAGTCTATTTTATCTGAAATTAGTATAGCTACCCCTGCTCTCTTTTGGTTGCTATTTGCATGGAATATCTTTTTCTATCCTTTCACTTTCAATGAAGGGGCAGGGGTCAGCACCAGCCCCCTTTATTTTTCCATAAAAAATATCAAACTGAAACACATTTTATTGCTTAAACAGAATAATTTAACATATGATATTGAGTTGAAGTGGTATGATGAAATGGAAAAGGCTAGGTTTGGAGCCAGACAGAGTTTACTTAGACTATGAGCTCTGTAATTTACTTGCTATTTATCCTTGGGCAAGTAATATAATGTCTCTGAATCTCAGTTTACTATTTTGTACATGGGGATAACAATTTACCTTTCTAATTAATTTATTTATTTTGTTTGTTTGGGGCTTTTTCTTTTTTCTTTTTTTGGTGGCTGGCCAGTACAGTGATCCGAACCCTTGAGTCTGGTGTTATCAACACCACACTCTAACCAACTCAGTTAACTGGCCAGCCCTTATTTATTTTTAACTGACACATAATAATTCTACATCCCTTTAAATCCTCTGGAAGTCACTTCAGCCAGTGGGGTTGGGGCTTGCAACAATGGGAGATGGAGAGTATTGCAACAATGGCTACCCACATCTCTGTGCCTGCACTTGCATGATCAGAAGCAGCAATCAGCCTTCAGAATACAGATCCCAATATTTGGAGGTCAGGGTTCTTATTGCCTACCCTGTCTCCCATAAGCTGCATGCAAGCTGCTCCAGGAATATATGCACAGCATGTGCACAGCTGCCTACTATGGGCCTGGGGGTATAGGAGATGGGTAGCTAGCCACCTGAGCTAAGAGATGAAATTGACCAAAATTAACTGCAATTTACCTCCAAGCCTTCCCCTAAAAGTTGCAAGCCTTCTACAGTCCCCAGAGTTTTGAGTTATTTACATCAGAT